AGGGCAGTGCGAACATATCAAAGCATATGTGGCCTCTGTTGTACGTGCTACGTGTGGGATTGTCCTCTTTGTTCACTCGCGAGGCTATGGCGACACTCGACGACGTTATTCATTTCTTGGCAGAGGCAGCACCAGATGCGACGCTTTGACTCATTACAACTAGACTAGCTATAGGTAAGTTGAAGAATGGTTTTGTGTCAACACATATCAGTTGCATAGTTCAATTCAGTGAATAAGAGTACTGTGTGCACCTTCATATGTGAACCCAAATGACACCCAGATCCCGAGTCAAAGGGCACGCAAATCGGCGCCATGGTCGAGATGCACCGTTAAGAGTGTAGTCGCATTTTCACAGGGCGCGTTCACGGAGGCTATGAGAAGATCACAGATCTACTAGGACGACCGGATCGAGTGCTACCTAGCGTCAAGTTTTCCTTTCTGATTATGAAGCTCGATCATCGCGGGAGACCTAAACCTGTGACGGGCCTATCTTGGGGTGGAGCGAGGCGTGGAAAGGCATTTTCCCTCCTACGCCAGGAAGGTAATAAGCTGCTTGCATTTGAAAGATCCACCATTAGAAAGATATCCACGTACTGTGCTCCTTCGGTCCTTCCTATTCCACTCAACAAGTTGTAGCTTATCCCATCGCTCTCGATATAATACAGGTAGTCTTGAGCTAGGGGCCGGCTCCGAGTTAGCAGACCGTGATGTGGTGGATGCTATTATAGATTCACCTAATCTAATGGCGCAGGACTGCACCGACTGTCGAGCTCTCGATCGGGAGTGCATACAGTCTACCACCGACAACACACCGCTGCTAGCACCGACGCCAACGGCGACAACACGCACGCCTGAGGACCTGTAAGCATCTACCATGTTTGATGATGTAGTTGACGCATGAAACATTCCATGCAAAACAACCTAACACAGGATTTGAAATCCAACCTCTAATGCTTTTGTTTTTCTTTGATATGTGCACTACCTCTCGTCACGTCGCATGCAACCGCGCCCGATCGCGTGTGCAACAGTCCCTAGGCACTGGCCTACCTCACCAAATGTCAATGAGATTTCTGAACAACGGGTATGTCTCGTCGAACCGCGTACTCTCGTTGGATTCTTCAAGGGATGTCGGTTGGTGTGCTCGCATCAACAGACATGCGGTGGAGCCATGTCTTTGAGGTCATGGAAATATTCTTGGGCTTCAGTGGGCATGTTTTGGAGATGTGATGCGTGCTCCCATGGTGTGGAATTCTGGTCATGCACCAATCGAACCGTTGAGAAAAGAAGAGCGGGTGTCGGGGCACGCGTGCCTATGCTCCATTCCAAATTCGTAGGAGCATTTGTGCTTGCTGGGATGGATTATCAACAGATGTGGGAGTTTAGCCGCAATTTTGGTATCCCATGTCCCGGAAAAGGCACTTTTTATAAGTATCTAGGGGGTGATAATGGGTTGTGGAACACGATTCTTAGAGAGGCGGAGAAATCCATGGCAGCGCTACGAGAAGAGATGAAGAAACGAGACATTTCTGGGGAATGGGTAACGGTAGACGGTCGGTGGTCACATGTCCGAGAGGGCGAATGGTGTACCGTATCATTCATGGAAGTTGTTACGCGGAAGTTATTGTACTATGCGACAACAAGGAAGGGGGTTGATGATACGTCATCTGTGTGATTGGAGCGGGTTGCGTTCGACAAAGGAGTTGATGAGCTGGCGATGTTGGGATTTGAAGGGGGAGGAATCATTTCAGACCAAGGAACGACATTCAGAGGTGCTGCGACAGAGCGGAAACTGAACCATCAGGTGGATTGGTGGCACGTGAAGAAAACGCTATACAAGCTTTTCTGCAAAGAGCTTTAGGATGTTGTGCGGGTGCCGGTAGTCCTGGACAAGGCAAGTTGTATTGAGGAGCTGTGGTTGGCTATGGTGGAAGGGCTGCGGCAATGGTTGCGAAAACGGGGTTTGGAGAAGGAGGTAAAGGCGTCACTCAAATCGGCTCTTGTGAAATCCGTCTGCACAGCTATGGGCACTATTGCATACGTGCACATGACACCCGATGAAGCAAAGTGGAAGTTTCCAGAGCTGAGAAAGGTGCGACGAGTGGGGGGGGAATAGGGGGTTGTAGATGTCCCAGTCGCTTATGCTGAGGTGCGATCTGGCCCAACGGGAGATAGGCGAACCACTGCGATCGATGAAGTGGTTGACGAGGAGAAATTGGGCAATGCTCAAGTTGACGTGCAGTGGCCAGATGTGGAGCTTTGGAGTTACGATTTGCATCAAGTGCATGGCGCGCAACCCTCGTTTGTGGCAATTGCATCCATCGAGCATGCACATGCAGGTGCAGGCGATGTCTCACGGTCAATTGGTGGGACGACTCCGTGGGCCAACGCAGACGAATTCACTGGTAAGAACGCTCATATAAGAGAAGATTTAATTGCTCATGTTGTTTGGTTACTCAGTCATGTGTCCTTCCAATATTGTCGTTCACCAGAAGATGATGGCATGGGTTGTTCGGACCCAACAGAGACTACCCCTGCAAGCGACAACGAGGGTGCAGTGCATGATGGTGATGCTGCAGGAAGCGGAATCGGACAGACTTTGCCTTGGTGGGTTGGGCGCCGGAAACGAGAACAGGGTGGAGATGAGGTGCACGCAGGCGATGAAGAGAGTACTGTGGTGCAACGTTTCAGCTCACATTTTTTCCATGTGATGATGCACACCGGGAGGATGAAGGGTGCGGACACCCCTATGACCCCTGATGATGTGTCGAGGCAGATTGGGACGGCACCAAACCATTGGGCGGGTGACCATTCCGGGTGAGGAATGTTTGGTGGTGTCCCGCCTAGGTGTGTTACTGAGAATTGGGGGATGGAATGTGCTCTTAACGAGCCTGGGTCAGAAACACACAAGGCGGCACTTGCTTGGTTCGAGAAACGGTTATCCCCGGAAAAGGTGAAGTCTTTTGTTCACGGTGCCAACAGCTCTGTCAATGAGTCATTCCATTCTCTGATCCTCAAATACGCCCCTAAACGTATTCGGTTCCAGGATAGTCTTGCGCCGCCGGTGGCTCTCGCGGTCTTTCAGTGGAATAACTCGATGGATAGATTGGTCACTTCCTACCACACACGAGTGCGGCAAGCGACGCGGGTGCGTCGGGGCAACAAGGATCGAACACTCGGACCCATGGATTGTTCGTGGGTTGATCGGATCATGGCTGAGTGGCAACGGTCGTTAGGGGAAGGTGTCGATGACGGTATTATTGAAGATGCATCAAGGGGCCAATGATCGGAACAGTAGTCCGCTGACATATCTGATGGAGGGGGCCACCCATCTGTACAGCAGCCCACTACACCTGTGCGACGTAGTGGGAGGGGTCGCGATCGGTCATCGACGCATAAGGCTGCGCGCAGACTTCTAGGTGAGACTAGTTGCACATTTGCCACATATCACACATCAACTAATGTTACAAGTCAATTGGACCGACAATTTCTGTTTGTGCTAATGTTACAGGTGACGTCACCAACTATCCTCGGAAAACATCTACAACATACCTATGGGGTTCAAAATGGTCCAACATTATCACGTTGGCCGCCACGCCGCATCGCTTCCGATATATACGGCACTCATGAGCTCGCCCTAGGTTAATAATGAACCCTACTCGTGTTATTAGTTATCCTCAAACACCAATACTAGTGGGCCTTCAGATTTATTCCCCCATCTCCCCTCCACACTTCCCTGTCTCCCTCAACTCCCTCCTCTTTACCAAAAACCTTCAGAAGCACTGTCTCCCCATCCCCCATCCCTGCGATACATCCGATGTCAGCGCCTAAAATTGGTCCCGCCAGTGCAGGGAGTGCTGCTGGTGCCGTACTTGCCGAGGGATATGGAGGTGGCAGGGCGGCTTTCCCTGGTGGTTTGCCTCGGCCCCTTGGGACGTCTGCCGCCTTGTGGCAAATGACACCTGGTACAGTGCACGTGACTCTGGTGTAATGCAGTTGACCGATGGTGCATTTGTCTAATGCACTAGTGCAGGATATCCTATGCCATCTCCCCATTTTTCTCCACTTCTTCTCACCGACAACTCTCCCATCCTTCCCATGATTCCCATTAGAAATCATCTCAAAGACAATCACCTTGACTCTTTCCCACCTCCCCTCTATCCCTTTTTTTCCCCCCTTCTCCACCACTCCCCACTCCCCACATTTTGACAGCCATTCCACAGAGTATGCAATGAGAGGTAGCTTGTCAACCTGCTGCTCCTCCTCCTTGTTCTCAGCTCCCTTTACCATCTTCTTCTCCTCTGCCCCCCACCCCACTTCCCCCACGACCCCCCCATCCCCCCCCTCCCCCCTCCGCAAATCAGCCATTGCAAAGCTCCAGCAAGGAGAGCCCCTCGAAATTTTCCCTCTATCCCTCCTTTCATGTGCCCGACGCCACCACTCTTTGCCACTCCTCTCTGCTGGGCTTACCTGGACATATTTGGCGGAACCGTCTTGAGTGAAGCTCCACATAAATCTCACAATGTATCTTGGGGAATTCGGCTTTACCGTAGTTTATTGGCATGGCAAGTCGTTTTTCTAAGGGCGTGTCATGCTTGGTGAACTTGCAGTTCATTCAAAGCAGCTGACTATGATGTGGCCGGTTCTATAACGGCAAGTGTGCTTCACGGATTCGAAGTGCTACGTACCGGTACCAACCTAAACATTCTTTGGCGAGATGTGTTTTCACCATGTATGACACACCCTTGTACCGAGAAACCGTTTTTGGATACTAGTATCCTTGACATTGGCTGTGTTGTGCATGTTTGGTAGGGAATATCACAGCTAGGCACAAGCTAACTTCATGTCTTTTTACGTGTTGGAGCTCGGGTCAAGATTGAGATAGGGCATACACAGTACACCCCTTGTACACAGTATCAACAGGTGAACCCAATTCAGCCTATAAACCACTGGCACCAAACAAAGCATGACCCACTAGTCGATCCCTGCTGCCAATCTCCATATCATGCTGCGGCCTCTTCACTCTGTGCTTGCCTTCTTGCACCTTCCTCCCATGCCACTCCGCACTGACCACACCACACAGCTCTACTCGATTCAAATGCCTTTGCCCCATGATCCAGATTCAGCACAATTGCCTGCACAGTGTCGGCTGTCACGCATGAGCGCACGCAGGCATGCACACACGCAGGCACGCACGGAGGCAGAAAGACACGGACACAGATCAAACGCAGGCAGACATGCAGTCAGGCAAAGTGCAGACCAGGGTTCCGCAACACATGTGAGGAGGAAACTGAGGGAGAATATGAAGAGCAGACAAGTGGTGCGTGTGAGTGCCGTGGAAGGGAGCACGGGGAAGCAGGGGAGGGGATGGGGGGAAGCAGGGAAAGGGACATGGGGAAGCAGGGAAGGGGATGGGGGGAAGCAGGGAACGGGACATGGGGAAGCAGGGAAGGGAACACGGGGAAGTTGGGAAGGGGATGGGGGGAAGCAAGGAAGGGGACATGGGGAAGCAGGGAAAGGGATGGGGGGAAGGGAAGAGGATGGGGGGAAGCATGTAAAGGGATGGGGCACCAGAAGGGAAGGGGATGGGGGGAAGCAAGGAAAGGGACACGGGGAAGCAGGGAAGGGGACAGGGGGAGGCGGGGAAGGGGAGTTGTGGAAGCAGGGAAGGGGATGGGGGGAAGCAGGGAAGGGGACATGGGGTAGTAACGGAAAGGGGACATGGGGAATGATGAAAGCATGTATGGGGAAATAGATGGGTGCACACGCTCGGGAACAACAGGGCAGCTGGTGAGGAGTGAGGGGGAAGGGGAGGGCATGAAAAGGAAGGGATGGGGAAGGGGAAGGACAGGGCAGGGAGGGAAAGGCAGGGATGGGGAGGGCAGGTGGGTGGAGTCTGGGAGAGAAGGCAGGTAATATGTTATGAGGAAGGTGGGGGGTGAGTTGCATGAGAAAGGATGGGAACGAATGAGAGAGGGTGGGGAGAAATGAGAGAGGGTGGGGAGAAATGAGAGAGGGTGGGGAGAAATGAGAGAGGGTGGGGAGAAATGAGAGAGGGTGGGGAAAAATGAGTGAGGGTGGGAAGGAATGAGTGAGTGAGGGAAGGAATGTGGGGGAGTAGGGAAGGGGATGGGGGGAAGCATTGCAGGGGATGCACCGTCTTGACCAAAAACCTTCAGATGCACCGCCTCTTACGACGGGGCGTAAGTTGGCACTCCCCTAGGCTTGGCAGGAAGTTGAATTGCCAGCGAATGGCATTATCAGTGATCAAACCGCTCCTCCAACATGCTCCGCGCCACGTGCACCTTCTGTCACACCTGCGCGCGGATGGGGGGAAGCAGAGAAGGGGATGGGGGGAAGCAGGGAAGGGGATGGGGGGGAGCAGAGAAGGGGATTGGGGGAAGCAAGGGAAGGGGACTGGGGGAAGAAGGGTAGGGAATGGGGGAAGCAGGGAAGGGGATGGGGGGAAGCAGAGAAGGGAATGGGGGGAAGCAGGGAAGGGGATGGGGGGAAGCAGGGACAAGGAGAAGGCAGAAAGGGGTACCTGTGTGAAGGAACATGGGGGAGATGTAGTGAGGTGGAAGGGAACAACGACAAGGGAATACAAGCAAGTGCACATGGTGAAGGCATGCATTGGGAGACAGTGATGTATTGGGAGACAGTGATGTATTGGGAGACAGTGATGTATTGGGAGACAGTGATGTATTGGGAGGCAGTGATGTATTGGGAGGCAGTGATGTATTGGGAGGCAGTGATGTATTGGGAGGCAGTGATGTATTGGGAGGCAGTGATGTATTGGGAGGCAGTGATGTATTGGGAGGCAGTGATGTATTGGGAGGCAGTGATGTATTGGGAGGCAGTGATGTATTGGGAGGCAGTGATGTATTGGGAGGCAGTGATGTATTGGGAGGCAGTGATGTATTGGGCACATGCATGGAAGCGAAGGGAAGCCAGGAGAAGGCATGAGGAAAGGAAGGGCAGGGATGGAAGGGCAGGAATGGGGAGGACAGATGGGTGGAATGTGAGGCTGCGAAGGGGATGGGGGGTAGCAGGGAAGGGGATGGGGGGTAGCAGGGAAGGGGATGAGGGGAAGCAGGGCATATGAGGGGGGGAAGCAGAGCATATGGCTCCCTCGCTCCCCCTCGTCGCATTGGCTTTCCCTGCTCGTCGTTGCCTCCCCTCATTGCCCCCACATACCGACCGCATATCCCCAAACACACTCATCCTCCCCAGCAACCTGTTTCACCCCACACTCCTTTCTCCAACCACTAATTTGCCTACCCCCTGTGATTCTCCTGCCTCCCCCCCCTCGCATCCCTCGCCGCCTCGCTCTTTTCTTCTCTCCCAGCCTTTCTCTCACTCTTCCCATAAACGCGCCCTTCCATTTCCACCTCCCTCTCCCCTTCCCTCACCACCCTTCTTCCATCACCCTCGCCCCCCATCCCCTTCGCGGTCGTTCCCCCTCCCCAGTTGCCCGCTATTCCCTCCGTCGCCCGCAGTTCCCCCCGGCCTATCTCCTTCCTTCCCGCTATCCCGCTCCCATTTCGACCCGCCCTCCTGCATCTCTTCCAGCCTTCTTCCTCCCATATATTTCCGCCCTCCATTTCTCATCCCTTCCTGTCCACTCTGTCTCCTTCCTTATTACACTTCATACAGCTTCCGTGGGGGAGCGAGCGCGACAAGGGGGAGCGTGGGCGACGACGGATAGCGAGCGCGAGGATGAGAAACGCTCGCGACGAGGGGAATCGAGTGCGACGAGGGGAAACGAGTGCGACGAGGGAAAACGAGTGCGACGACCTCAACGAGTGCGACGAGGGGAAACGAGTGCGACGAGGGAAAACGAGTGCGACGAGGGAAACGAGTGCGACGAGGGGAAACGAGTGCGACGAGGGAAAACGCGTGCGAAGAGGGGAAACGAGTGCGACGAGGGGAAACGAGTGCGACGAGGGGACACGTGCGCGACGTTTCGGTGAGTGAGAGGCGGAAGGGATCATGTTGTAGCGCCCCGCGCACCGAGGACCAGCGAAGTTTGCCTTAGCAAACAGGGACCTTGAGGGCATCGGGATTGGGCTAAGATGGATTGACGGGGGGAGCGGAAGGTAGGGAACACATTCGTGCTGTCGAGAGGTGAAGATCCGGTTCTGAGCCTAGCGCCTATGTCTCATTTGCTAAGGGCACTACTGGGCTAACTACTATTTTGCAAGGCATGCTAAGGAATATCGAGAATTTTTTCTCTAGTACAGATGTTCTCGTTAATAGTCCGACGGATCAACATCGCCGCGCGCGGACTATGTGCGAAAACCTTCAAAACTGTTACGGGTGCAGTGAATCTAAGTAGCGAGAATTGCACTAAGGTGTCAAACGAGTACAAAATGTGAGCGAAGGCATGAGCGAACATTTACATGCTAAACATCCAAACGGTAACGCGGTGCGTGCGAGCTAGCTAGTGCTATGCTGGAGGCGAGGCTCGGGCTAGTCCCGAAGCGTAGGCCGACACGGCCAGGCCAGCAATGCGAGGTTTAGTGAAACAGTGCGCGCGAAGTCGGCGAAGCCCCGTTAGCAATAACGGGCGAACAACGGCTGCTGCTGTACGCGATGTTGCAAGGCATGCTAAGGAATATCGAGAAAATTCCTTACACAACCCCAGGCAAACCGCGATACTTATAGTCCTGTTGAAGAAAATTGCATGAAGAGTGGTTGTTTTGCTACTATTTTCTGGATTTCGGCATTTTCATAGATTTGGACCGCGCTTGCTTCAACTTCCAGTCGCACGGTTTTCCACGCTGATCAATGTCACATGACTAACGAGCAAATCTAAACAAAATCAACAATGGTTTGGGGGTCGAATAGTAACCCTTTTTTTGTTTTGTTATGTTTTTTTTTTACCGGTACCCTGTAATCGAAATATATAAGATGTCATCGTCGATCGCACTTGAGACAGCGCGACAGGATTGAGAAGAAGTCGCCGTCAAGAGTAACAATAACTTACCCTCTAAAAGTTACCGTATTCTCCCGGACATAACATCCGGGGGTACTATAATAACCACAGGGAAAAAAAGGGGGGGGGGGGGGGGGGTCCTCTCAACGGAAAATCCTATATAATACCCGAGTGGTTATATGTGGTATAACAATTTGATTCTTTGATTAGACAATTTGGGTGTTTCAATGGTCGTTTTAACATCACAGTTTGAGGCGAGAATGTGAGTTTTGGCGAGAATGTGAGTTTTACCTTTCGAGCCACTTGCAGCGGAAAATTCGCCAGCGTGGCGACTTCCTAGAATGTGGGATGGGGGTGTCAGAACATTATAGCTTATACTTTTCTGTAGAATGTAGTGGGGTAGCCCATAAGGGGTACAACCCAATTAGGGTTAGTACTTGTACCCAACTGTTTCATAGTTCATTCATTCCTCGTTCAGTTTCACATGGTATAGAGCATGTTTCCGTGTGGGAACTGTTCCTAGGGCCCACCATTTTTTTTTCCTTGCCCGGAGCGCGCTTCACCCTAGACCGAGTCGCGCGCGCCCCGCGTGCCCTCCCTACCATCGCGCCGCCCTTAGCGGCCTCTCTCACGGCCCCTTGCGCCGCCCGTCGACCCCGCGCGCCGCCCCAGCGGCCCCTTGCGCCGCCCCTCGGCTCCACGCGCCGCCCTTGCGGCCCTTCGAGCCGCCCGTCGGCCTACCGTGCGCCGCCCTTGCGGCCCCTTGCACCGCCCTAGCGGCCCCGGAGCCTACTTCTCCGGCCCCGGTGCCGCCCTTCCCGGCCCCGGCGCCTACTCCTACGGCCCCGGCGCCTCCCTTCCCGGCCCCGGCGCCGCCCTTCCCGGCCCCGGCGCCACCTCGACTGGCCCCGGCGCCTACCCCTGCGGCCACGGCGCCGCCCTTCCCGGCCCCGACGCCGCCTCACCTGGCCTCGCCGCCGCTCCACCTGGCCCCTCGAGCCGCTTTCTGCGGCCTCCTCACGGCCCAACCGCCGTCCCTGAGTCAGGAGCCGCCGCCGCCGAGCCGCCCAGCAGCCGAGCCGTCGCGCCGCCGAGCCGCCCAGCAACCGAGCCGCCGAGCCGCCCAGCAGCTGAGCCGCCGAGCCGTCGAGCCGCCCAGCAGCCGAGCAGCCGAGCCGCCGAGCCGCCGAGCCGCCCAGCAACCGAGCCGCCCACTAGCCGAACCGCCGAGTCGCCCTCCAGCCGAGCCGCCCGCACCGCCGAGCTGCCCGAGCCGCCATGTCCGGTAAGAGCAGCGCCTCTATCACTGCACTGCCCTTACCCTACTGTTCGCGCTGCTAGTCTACTACTGTCATGGCTACCCCTAGTGTGCTCGCTTTTGACGCTGAGGGTCGGGCCATTGACTTTGACGTCTGGATAGATGACCTGCAGCTTTTTTTACAGTACGATAGGGAAGACGGTCTTTCCCTCTTTGACCTCACCTCTGGTGCCTCTCCTGCCCCTGCTGCTGATGCTGATGCCATTGTTTGCTCACAGTGGGCCACACGCGATGCTGCTGCACGTCTTGCTGTGCGTCGCCACCTGCCTACCTCTGAGCGTGCGCACTTTAGCCAGTACAAGAGTGCTCATACCTTGTACGACGCTGTAGTTGCACGCTACTCCTCCCCTGCCACTGCTGCACTGAGCCGCCTCATGCTACCATACCTCTTCCCAAACCTTGCTGCCTTTCCTACAGTCACTGACCTCATTACGCACCTCCGCACTAGTGACACTCGCTACCGCGCTGCGCTTCCTGCTGAGTTCTGCGCCAAGAATCCCCCCCCCATGTACTTCACTCTCTACTACATTGTCACCCGCCTCCCTGACTCCCTTCGCGGAGTCAGGGACGACTTACTCTCTGTTTGCCCCACCACTCTCACCGTTGACCTCCTTGAGAAGGCCCTCCTAGCAGCAGAGAAGAGCATAGTCGCTGTAGGAGCCTCTCGAGGTGACCCCCGCACCCCCGTCTTTGAGGGGTGTTCTCCCTCCCCCCTCTTGCCCTCTGTTGCTTCTGCTGCTACGGCCGACCTCGTTGGTTTCGAGTCGGTCAGCGCTGCGTCTGCCCCTTCAAGGAAGCGCCGCACAGGCAAGGGCAAGGTGGGCAAGGGCGCTGGAGGAGCTGGCGGGGGCGGTGGAGGTGGCAGTGCAGCCGGCGGAGGGGGTGGG